TGTGGTGGATGTGTGGTGGATGTGTGGTGGGTGTGTGGTGGATGTGTGGTGGATGTGTGGTGGATGTGTGGTGGGTGTGTGGTGGATGTGTGGTGGATGAGTGGTGGGTGTGTGGTGGATGTGTGGTGGGTGTGTGGTGGGTGTGTGGTGGGTGTGTGGTGGGTGTGTGGTGGGTGTGTGGTGGGTGTGTGGTGGGTGTGTGGTGGGTGTGTGGTGGATGTGTGGTGGGTGTGTGGTGTGGGTGTGGTGGGTGTGTGGTGGGTGTGTGGTGTATATTTGTTGGTGTTTCCTGCAAAAATATGCTAGATTCCTCCGACGTCTTTTTTTATTCATACGTAAATATGTGTAATATATATATATATATATATATATATATATATATATATATATATATATATGACTAAAACTCAAGTTTGTTTACAAGCTGGTATATTTATTTATTTGTTTGTCTGTTTGGTTACAGGAGAGAATCTGCACTCTGTGTAGAGCTGTAAAATTCGTATTTAGGTAGAGAATAATGTTCTTTTTTACCATTCTGTTAATCAAAAATTTATTTAAAGACGTAAATTAATTAATTAATTACTATATTCATTGCTAGAAACACTACTCTAATTATAAAAGTTCAGAACAATGACTTTATTTATGGTGACGTCACATGATTTATTTACACAGTATACAGCAAAATTTTCTGTCGGCTTTAGCTATTTTTACAAGCTTTTATTTAACTCACTTCCTCTGTCGTCAGTCTGATTAGTGGTTAAACATCTTTAGGCATCTGAAAACGTTAGTTTTTAATCTAGTGTACTCAAAAAGGAACAACATAATCATAAAGCCTTATGCCGCCTTAAAAACTCAATCCCATGTTACGCAAGGCGTCGATAGAGAAAGAATAACGCTTTGAGTCAGAACAGGCAAGGGCTAAGATAACTGCCAAAATACCTAATCTGTAGACCTCACAAGTCTAGACGATATATTTGTGCCTCTGTTTTTAGACTTTCAGAACAAATACATGTGATCAGTAAGCACATAAAAGAGAAAAGTAGCTTTAATCTAGAGACTTCAAACATTTCTGAAGGACCGAATTTGAACTTGTAGGCCGTGGTGTCGATGCCAAAGTTTAGCGTCGTCCGCAAAGATAAGCTATCTTTATATCATCTCTATGCCCATATTGTGACAGATATTTACAAATGTGTCTAATATAGGACAGAATACATAGCTACTCAACAGAGATAAGCGCAATCACTTGTCCACGACTTAAGAAACCACTGTACTGCAAAACCCACCTAAATGGAAAATGTCTTAGATCTGTGTTTTAATACAAATGTGTACCTCGTCGCGAGTTAGGACCTGTAGGTAGTCTGTTACTTCTCTATATCTAAAAACAATAAAAAAGATAACGTGAATTTTACTTGTTCAATTTCTTGGTTAACTGTATTTGTTGCATCTTGTTCAATTTTGTTAATATTGATTAACCTAAAGGGTTCAAATGTAACAAAGAAAATTGCGGGTATTCGGACACTAGTTAAAGTAGGCCCTATATATCTATTTATATTTATAGAAATGAAAATATGTTTATCTGTTTGTCCTATATGAATTACTACATCTTTTTCATCGGATCGCCATAAAACTTTGTGAACAGTGTTTTTTTCCAGGAATCTATTCGGGGGGGGGGGGGGGGGGGGGGGGGGGGGGGGGGGGGAGGAAGCAGAGCCCCCCCACCCCCCCCCCCCCCCCCCACCCCCGAAGAAAGTCTATCACCCCCACCCCACCCCCGAACGAAACGGAATTTATATAGAAAAAATATATACTTTTAACAGTGTCCGCACGCCCCCCCCCGGAAAGATTTCGCCAGGGCGGCGCCCTAGCAGGAAGCAGAGGTGTAGCAGCCTATTCCGGCGCCCGGGGCGAACTATCACTGTTGTGCCAACCCTATTCAAACGCTGGCAAAAAGGCGCCCATCCCTACATACACTCCCCTAAATTAAATAATTGAGGATATCAGTCATGTATAAATCTGTTTTCTTAAATTTTACTCAAGAATGAGGATTTTAAAAAAATTGTCTACCCCTTTTGGCGCCCCATTTGATCTGGGGTCTCTGAAGGAAGCAATGCAATTTTTCTCCATAAAAATAAAAGCCATATGCAATTTGACACTGTTCGTACGAGAGTCATAAAAATTTGGGGAGTCGGTGAAAAGGGTTTCGAGAAATAAAAAAATTTCTTAAGTGTGGCACCCTGGGAGGGTTTGAATTTTCTCATTTTACGATTATGAGCTCAGAATCCAGAGGGGAATCCAGAGGGGCTATCTCATCAATTGCGGTCATAGATAATACTAGATTCAGCAGAGGCGTAGTGAGGGGGGCGGGGGTACATATGTCCCCGGGCGCCAACCCTAGGGGCGCCAAAATGGGTGGGAAAAATTTAAAAGCTCATTTTAGCTACAGTTTTGCATTATAAATATTTAAAAAATACGGGGGGGGGGGGGACGCCAAATTGAAAGTTTGTCTCCGGCGGGAGGGGGGGGGGGCGCCAAATTGAAAATATGTCCCCAGGCGCCAGGAATGGTGCTACGCCTCTGAGATTCAGTGATAAAACTACACCAGGTTCATCCGCCAGCTCCCCGGCGGTTGAGTGGCCCAGAGCGGCCAAGACCCACCTCGGGCGACACTACGGTTTAGATGGGCTACTATAAATGTTCACTAAGTAGAATAATGAGCGCCCGCCGGCACCCTGGCAGTTGGCGACAGCGAGCGTCCCGGGCTCTACCGAGAGTGCCTCTTTAAAGAGCACCCTACAATAGGGACACGGTGGCACACGACATTTTATAATTAAACCGAATTAGGGGCGCCCCTGCGGGAGTATAACCAGTGGCTCCCTGGAGCGCCAAGGGACGCGTCTCTAACACATGAGCGGTCGCCAATGTGTGTTCTACCTCACTATTACAGAGGTTGATTAACGTACACTCAAGGCTTTCATACAGTGAGCCTTGGTGCGTCTAGGCGGCAGTGTGGACAAACCCGCGCCCCAAAAACGAATATGTGGGTTTGTTTGTTTAAGCATTACCAAAGATTTCATTCGTTTGTCATTCAAATTTGAGAAGTTAATGCTAATACCACTGTGGTGGTTTCTGCGAAAAAAAAATTCGATTTGGTGGCGCCCTGGCAGGGTTCCATTTAGCTCCCCGGGTTTTCCTGTGAGTACTATGGTACCTTTGTTCGTTTTAATAATTGCGAAACGCTATAAATATGATGGGCTACTAAAATCGCCAGCTATACCGAGTGAGGCGCCTTCCTACCTAGTCCCGCCTACCTACATACCTAACTCCCTGTCTACGTACCTACCTATCTACTAACCTGCCTGCGCTGCTGCCTGCCTACCTACTTTCCTACCTACCGTTATTCCTGCCAAACTGCTTTCCTTCCACCCCGCCTGTCTACCCACCTCACATCCTACTTACACATTCACATATCTTCGTATGTATATATGTATGTGTTAGTGTGCTCTAGGACTATGTATTTTTACATTTTTGTTGTTACGTAGAACTATTCAGTAAAAAGGAGTTTCCTTTTTTTTTTTTTTTTTTTTTTTTTTTTTTTTTTTTTTTTTTTTTGACGTTGTAACTGCCGCTAAAATATTCTTTTTTGTATGTGTGCATAAAATAGTGTAGGTTTATTAACAAAAGTAAATTTTAGTATGTATTTTAGTGTATATAGTCATTTTCGTCAAGCCAATGTGTTCATAATCTTAAATTTAAAAACCCATGAAACTCGATAGCCAAAGATTTAGAATGAGAATAATTGCTATTTAACCAGAAACACCCATTCTAATTACTGTAATATTTTTAAAAATAAATATACACAGAGATAGATTGTTTTCTTATATAATTAATTTTAAAATTCAACTGTATTTCATAACGAAAATTAACACAAAATACATTCGAATAGAAACTGTCAAGGGAGACTACTCTAATATTTGTAGGAATAATAGTTTTTATTTAGAGTTTTTTTATTATTAGAAGAAAAGTTAATCATGTAGGTTCTAGAAAAGAATACCTTGCATTTAAAAAAAAGATAGGTTTAGAAAGAGAAATAGTCAAAATTATTTATTATATTCATTAGTTTTTTTTTAATAATATAGTACAAAGGCCTGTTTTAATTATTTTTTAAAAATCTTATTTTAATTAATAAATTATAAATGAAGATCGAGGATCTATATTTAAAAAAAAATAGTTTAACTGTCCCTAAACAATTGTATCAATCGCTTAGAAATTAAGAATTAATAATTACGTTTAACGCTTTATTAATTAAACGAGTTGAATTATTTCCGTTTTGATAAACTCTCTCTCTCTCTCTCTTTATAACTACTAACGCTTTATCATTGAGTTTCTCGAGAGAAAAATACAGGAGAGCGGTAGTTATCATTGACTCTGTCATTGATAATTTCATTGAGTCTTTCATAGAAAATAGTGTTTGATCGGCTGCTATATATATATATATATATATATATATATATATATATATATATATATATATATATATATATATATATATATATATATATATATATATATTGCATTTCTCTATCGTTTTAACTAACTTAAAAACTTTTAACTATTTTATATATATATATATATATATATATATATATATATATATTATTGTTTAATTTTCTTTTGCAGGTTGTGTCCACTGATTCCACATCTAACTAGGAAAGAACAAAGGAGGAGTCGGCACACTGGGGATACGCTCAAGAAAATGGTAAATCAGAAATACATTTTCACACATATACTTACACAGCCATACGATACACACACGGCCATCATTCCTCCCTTCGATTCACCTAACAACCTACGATAGTCACAATAACCGGGTCATTGTCTAGGACCAGTTGGAATTGTTTCGACTAAAATTTAAACACTCCCTGAGTGAACAAAACAGTCCCTAACTGACAAAGAATCCCTGACTAATCCCCATTATAGTACTTTATGAGGACTCCTATAATATGATCATATGTGACGCCTTCCCTGTTCGTATACTACACAATTACATGGGTGGGGATAAGGAGGGACTTGTAAGAAAGACTAAAAAGAGGAGTAATGCAATCATTTGTTAAAGCAAGCATTAATCAAACAACAGGCCACCTTGTAACATGGCGCCCTGCCACTATTTAGCACCTGGATACGGATATTTATGGGGAGGGGGATGGGTGGAATTAAACACCACGTCACCTCACATAGAGCAAGTGACCCCCCCCCCTCCACCACCACACGCATACATAATCTTACGCATAGCAATTAAAAGAACCTCTAACCCACAGGTCCCCTCACCTGGTCACGGCATTTTCCCGACGCTAGAGGGTCCCGCCAGAGCCCCATAGATATCAACCCAGAAGCTTCCCAGTATGATGAGGCTTTATCTGAAAGTCCAATCATCGTCAACTATTTACGTGAAAACCACCTACACGTAGAGAACAACGGGCACACGATGATAGTGCAAATAAAAAAACAAATCCAGTAAGTAGCCAGCCTAATATTAATTCATTAATGCGAATGCAGGGGTGGGGGGGGGGGGGGCGTAGAAAACAAAATAAAGCTCCTAGCTGAAATACTAAGAACAAGCCGACCCGCGGCGTATCATACGCCTCTATTTAGTTGTTTTATTTTCTACTTTTCAGTAATTTATATTTGTTAATTTGACAGTATCAATGCTGCCACTAAAATATTTGCTTTTAAACACTATCAGTAGCTCGCTAAAGACGATAACCCCCCAGAGGCGTAGCGAGGGGGTGGGGGGGGGGGGTGGCGCGGGGGGACATATGTCCTTGGGCGCCGACCTTAGGGATGGCGCCAAAATGGGTTGGAAAAACAATGGTTTGACGGGGGTGAAAATCAAAAGTTCGGGGGGGGGGTGCAAATCGAAAGTTTGTCTCCGGGCGCCGGGAATGGTCGCTACGCCTCTGCCCCCCTACCTCATTCCCCCAACTTTGTGTCCACGTTTTTTTTACTAATAGCTATTTGTTCAGGTATTGAGTTGTTCAGAAGACTCCACTACTTGTCTTAGTCTATTTACATTCCTTTGTCTGCGTGTACATACCAATTTTTTTTACTTAATAAGATCAACAATTCATCGAATGACTTGCCTTGTATTATCCCTACTAATCATAGTATCATAGAATTGAGCTTTAGTTAGTCAACGCGATATGGCACTAGTATTTACATATCCTGTAATATTCATGGGACAGAGTCCACCCAACTCTGATGGGTACCTAACTCAAGTTAAGGAAAGTAAAGGCGGCTGGGCATAGTGCTGACCACACTATCTCTTTATATGCCGAGGTCACAGAAACAAGTGAACTCTACTTCACTTGCCCCATAGACCGTCTGGTTCTGAAAGGGAAACTTTACTTACTTTACTAAATATTCATGATTGTCTCTCGTGGTGTGGTTTGGGATATTCTTTGTTTTCTTTTATATTGTGTGGAAGAGCTTTTCATTTTTAGTCTCTTTTAATTGCATGTGCCGTATAGATCTAGTTCTTTCTTCGTTTCCTGATGCATTTTAAACTGGTTTATTTTTGACATGATTATGCGGATAACCAAACCAATACTGAGAGAGCCACCTAATACACACGCTAAGCTTATATAAATTCTTTTGCTAAATTCCCATCAGTTGACATTCAAATTTAATCCGGCCCTGCTACCCTCACCTCCTTAATGCACTAGGTAGTTAAAGCTTTCTTTCTTACTCAAATCCCTGAGGCTGAACATGTTTTATTGAGGCGGCAGAAATAAATTCAATTAAACGTTTTATCCACTGATGTGACGTCACACTTATCCCCAGCCATTGCCGGCGGACCCCTTGGGGGTTATGAGTACCAGCTTACACAGTTCCATTTGCACTGGGGGCCGGACGACACGAGTGGCAGTGAGCACACGTACAAAGGGAAGAAATACCCCACTGAAGTTAGTACTTAGTGTTTGTCATGGCGACACCAAATCATATTAGGTTTACATTTGACTTGAAGCCATCACCGCATCAGTTGTTATTTTTTAACATTTTCCTAACATCTCAATCTGAACACAATCTTACTTAAAGAATAATGATTTAAACACTAGTATTATTTAACTTTTGTGTTTTGCAGATCCACTTTGTGCACTACAACAAGGAGTTGTACGCTACATTTGAAGAGGGAGTGGGTGCACCGGACGGCTTAGCCGTAATTGGAATTTTTGTTGAGGTGAGATAGTGGTCAGATAGTGGTCAGATAGTGGCCAGATAGTGGTCAGTCCAAATATGCACCACTGTAAACTGAACACTACCATCTTCTTCTAACTTGTAAACTTCACTACTTCCATCTACCCATAGACCAACAACAAGAAAAACCAAAGTTTTGAGCCGCTATCATTCGCCTCTATGTTCATAAAAAGAAAGAACAAAACTTGGAAAACGGGAGAAGACTTCAACCCTGCAAGCCTTTTACCTGGTCAGTAGTGCACTTCATTGTCAGGTTACACTTAGAAGCGCTCGTCAATTTTCATTAGCAGCTGTCACTCTGTGTCAATATGTGTCAATATGTGGGTAGTTATTATTGTTACTCCATGTCAGTATTAGTGTGTCTTTAACATCTTTTAATATTTTACAGACACATTGACAAACTACTGGACTTATAATGGATCCTTGACTACCCCCCCCCCCCTTGTTGTGAAAAAGTCAGGTGGATCATCCCTCAACTACGTATCTCAGTCACATCTGATCAGGTAGTTCTAGTCACAATTGTCTTTCTCAAACGTCTAGTTTGCCCCCCTCCCCCACATGTCTGAGCAGGATTTGAACACACCAACACACCTTTGTGTCCCCAGCTCCAGCCATTCAGAAAAATTTGCTCAGATGTACACGGTCGTCACGTAATTACAAATAATTACAGAGAGCCGCTACCACTATTTGGTAGAAAAATTTCAGCATCTTTCAAGTACTGGGAGGATGCTGAAGATGCTGAGGATGCGTGAGGGGTAAAGAGACGTGTGTGAAATATTGTGTTTCCTCCCGTTGACATGTCTTGTTTTTTGATGTGTTTTTCTTACCTTTACCCTCCCCTTCGTCACCCATCTTGACCCTAATTTATGGACGACACCTAACTACCCTGTCTTCGCTAGTCTAAGTATCGCCGAAGTCTGTATGTGCGGACCTAAGACTTGTGGTGGACGTGTAAGTGTTGTGTGGTATTGGTCTGCGTTTGATTGGACGTGTATGTGATTGTGATGTGGATGTGTATAATGTGTGTCTGATGTGAACGTGTGTGGTGTGTGTGAAGGATGTGTGTGTGAAGGGTGTGTGTGTGTGTGAAGGGTGTGTGTGTGTGTGAAGGATGTGTGTGTATGAAGGATGTGTGTGTGAAGGATGTGTGTGTGAAGGATGTGTGTGTGAAGGATGTGTGTGTGTGTGAAGGATGTGTGTGTGAAGGATGTGTGTGTGTGTGAAGGGTGTGTGTGTGTGAAGGATGTGTGTGTGAAGGATGTGTGTGTGAAGGATGTGTGTGTGAAAGATGTGTGTGAAGGATGTGTGTGTGAAGGATGTGTGTGTGTGTGTGTGAAGGATGTGTGTGTGAAGGATGTGTGTGTGAAGGATGTGTGTGTGAAGGATGTGTGTGTGAAGGATGTGTGTGTGAAGGATGTGTGTGTGTGTGAAGGATGTGTGTGTGTGTGAAAGATGTGTGTGAAGGATGTGTGTGTTATGCTTAGCTTTCCATTTCATAGTGGAACAAGGTATAACACAATTTAAAACACAGTTCAAATGTAATAATCCAATATAATTTTCAAATACAACAGAGAAACAGTGAACATTGAGACGAAAAACACTGACTACATGCTACCCTAAGTTGACGATACCACACACTGCTTACACACTAGAGTTCACACACTTGTCAGGGGAGGCGACTCTCACACCCAATCTCTCCGTGCCTACACGCTTTCGCTATGAACGTCTAGGCCACGTCACACCTCGCCCCTAAAAAAAAGAGGTTTCTTATTCTTCCTTAAATTAAACAGCATTTCTAAGGTCTATCCTGCACAACTACTTAACATGTACAGTAAAAATTTTAACAAAATATTTATCTGACCTTTTACATGCTTTAAATCTCCCTATAAATAAATGATGGCGAGTAAAAAATTATATCTCTACAATAAAATGTTGGACGTACGCATGAATTGACTACTTATAGCTTTATACGTCTAGTCTATAAGTCAACAAGGTCTTTAAAAAACATTTGTCATCAATAAAGCATTTGAATTGAATTACAATACATCAGAACAATGTTACTTCCCTTTCGTTTTATGAAGTGAGATATGTTGAAATAAATCTAGTCAATGATGACAATGAAAACTAGAAGCTATTCATATAATACAAGTTCGTACACCACTCTAATTTTGGTACAGTCTTTGGCTCTGGATGTCGATCTGGATCTCGCTCTGGCTTTAGCTCTGGCTCTCGCTCTGGCTCTGGGTTTTGGCTCTGGCTTTGGCTCTGGCTCTGGCTTTGGCTCTGGCTCTGGCTCTGGTTTTGGCTCTGGCTCTGGTTGTGGCTCTGGCTCTGGTTTTGGCTCTGGCTCTGGTTTTGGTTTTGGCTCTGGCACGGGCTCTGGCACGGGCTCTGGCACGGGCTCTGGCTCTGACGTTGGCTCTGGCACTGGCTCTGGCACTGGCTCTGGCTCTGACGTTGGCTCTGGCTCTTCTGCTCAGCTCTGGCGTCCAAACATTTTTGTTTCGATCCTGCTATCTTGACATCACAGTCTTTAACTATAATTAAAGTCTCATTAGTATCTTTAAAAAGACTATGAACTTGATACTGGATTAAAGTTACCTTCTGCTCAGCTGCCCTTGACCTAGTTCTCCACTCTGTTGACTTGTTGCCTAGATTGCGTCTCTGGTTGACTAGGTCTTCTGTAAGTGGGACAGTAGCTAGAGCTTTCATGTTGGTGGCGACGCAATGATTTGCTTCTGATGTGATCAAGGACTGAGATGCTAATATTGTAGCTCTAAAATTTGATAACTTACTTGCTATGCTAATGTAGTCCACTTTGTAGCTAGCAAGTTCTCTCAACTTCTCTCCTAGCTTTATCACTGTATTTTTAATGTCATTATTTATGGCCATGATGTCTGCAGCACTGTTCACAAGTTTTGTGGCTGTTGATACTAAGTCTTTTCCGGTCGGCGATGACTGCTGCCGTTGATACGAGATATTTTCTAGTCGGCTGTAACGCTGCCGTTAATACTAGATACTTTCTAGTCGGCTGTAACGATGCCGTTAATACTAGAAATTTTCCCGTCGGTTGTGACACTGCCGTTGATACTAGAAATTTTCCAGTCGGTTGTGACGCTGCCGTTGATACTAGACACTTCCCAGTCGGCTGTAACGATGCCGTTAATACTAGTTGTTTTCTAGTCGGCTGTAACGATGCCGTTAATACTAGCAAGTTTCTAGTCGGTTGTGACGCTGCTGTTGATACTAGACATTTTCAAGTCGGCTCTAACGCTGCTGTTGATACTCGATATTTTCCTTTTTGTCTAGGGGTAAGACTTCTCAAAAATCTTGTTGTGTTCAAATCCCGGACTTAAGCCCTCACTTGTTATGCTTAGCTTTCCATTTCATAGTGGAACAAGGTATAACACAATTTAAAACACAGTTCAAATGTAATAATCCAATATAATTTTCAACTTCTACAGGGGAACACTGAACATGGTGACGACAACACTGACTACATGCTACCCTAAGTTGACGATACCACACACTCCTTACACACTCGAGTTCACACACTTGTCAGGGGAGGCGACTCTCACACCCAATCTCTCCGTGCCTACACGCTTTCGCTATGAACGTCTAGGCCACGTCACAGTGTGTGTAAAGGATATGTGTGTGTGAAGGATGTGTGTGTGAAGGATGTGTGTGTGTGTGAAGGATGTGTGTGTGTGTGAAGGATGTGTGTGTGTGTGAAGGATGTGTGTGTGAAGGATGTGCGTGTGTGAAGGATGTGTGTGTGTGTGAAGGATGTGTGTGTGTGTGAAGGATGTGTGTGTGTGTGAAGGATGTGAGTGTGAAGGATGTGTGTGTGTGTGAAGGATGTGTGTGTGAAGGATGTGCGTGTGTGAAGGATGTGTGTGTGATTGATGTGTGTGTGAAGGATGTGTGTGTGTGTGAAGGATGTGTGTGTGAAGGATGTGTGTGTGAAGGATGTGTGTGTGAAGGATGTGCGTGTGTGAAGGATGTGTGTGTGAAGGATGTGTGTGTGTGTGAAGGATGTGTGTGTGTGTGAAGGATGTGTGTGTGTGTGAAGGATGTGTGTGTGTGTGAAGGATGTGTGTGTGAAGGATGTGTGTGTGTGTGAAGGATGTGTGTGTGAAGGATGTGTGTGTGAAGGATGTGCGTGTGTGAAGGATGTGTGTGTGAAGGATGTGTGTGTGAAGGATGTGTGTGTGTGTGAAGGATGTGTGTGTGATTGATGTGTGTGTGAAGGATGTGTGTGTGTGTGAAGGATGTGTGTGTGATTGATGTGTGTGTGAAGGATGTGTGTGTGTGAAGGATGTGTGTGTGAAGGATGTGTGTGTGAAGGATGTGTGTGAAGGATGTGTGTGTGTGTGAAGGATGTGTGTGTGAAAGATGTGTGTGTAAAGGATGTGTGTGTGAAGGATGTGTGTGTGTGTAAAGGATGTGTGTGTGTGTGAAGGATGTGTGTGTGTGAAGGATGTGTGTGAAGGATGTGTGTGTGTGAAGGATGTGTGTGTGTGAAGGATGTGTGTGAAGGATGTGTGTGTGAAGGATGTGTGTAAAGGATGTGTGTGTGTGTGTAAAGGATGTGTGTGTGAAGGATATGTGTGTGAAGGATGTGTGTGTGTGAAGGATGTGTGTGTGTGAAGGATGTGTGTGAAGGATGTGTGTGTGTGAAGGATGTGTGTGTGTGAAGGATGTGTGTGAAGGATGTGTGTGTGAAGGATGTGTGTAAAGGATGTGTGTGTGTGTAAAGGATGTGTGTGTGAAGGATGTGTGTGTGTAAAGGATTTGTGTGTGTGAAGGACGTGTGTGTGTGTGTGCGAAGGATGTGTGTGTGTGAAAGATGTGTGTGAAAGATGTGTGTGTAAAGGATATGAGTGTGAAGGATGTGTGTGTGTGTGTGAAGGATGTGTGTGAAAGATGTGTGTGAAGGATGCGTGTGTAAAGGATGTGTGTGTGTGAAGGATGTGTGTGTGTGAAGGATGTGTGTGTGTGTGTGAAGGATGTGTGTGAAAGATGTGTGTGTAAAGGATGTGTGTGTGTGAAGGATGTGTGTGTGTGTGTAAAGGATGTGTGTGTGTGAAGGATGTGTGTGTGAAGGATGTGTGTGTAAAGGATGTGTGTGAGTGAAGGATGTGTGTGTGTGAAGGATGTGTGTGTGTGTGAAGGATGTGTGTGAAAGATGTGTGTGAAGGATGCGTGTGTAAAGGATGTGTGTGTGTGTGTGTGAAGGATGTGTGTGTGTAAAGGATGTGTGTGTGTGAAGGATGTGTGTGTGTGAAGGATGTGTGTGAAAGATGTGTGTGTGTGTGTGTGAAGGATGTGTGTGTAAAGGATGTGTGTGTGTGAAGGATGTGTGTGTGTGTAAAGGATGTGTGTGTGTGAAGGATGTGTGTGTGTGTGAAGGATGTGTGTGAAGGATGTGTGTGTGTAAAGGATGTGTGTGTGTGAAGGATGTGTGTGTGTGAAGGATGTGTGTGTGTGTAAAGGATGTGTGTGTGTGAAGGATGTGTGTGTGAAGGATGTGTGTGAAAGATGTGTGTGAAGGATGCGTGTGTAAAGGATGTGTGTGTGTGTGTGAAGGATGTGTGTGTGTGTAAAGGATGTGTGTGTAAAGGATGTGTGTGTGAAGGATGTGTGTGTGTGTAAAGGATGTGTGTGTGTGAAGGATGTGTGTGTGTGTGAAGGATGTGTGTGAAGGATGTGTGTGTAAAGGATGTGTGTGTGAAGGATGTGTGTGTGTGTAAAGGATGTGTGTGTGTGAAGGATGTGTGTGTGTGTGAAGGATGTGTGTGTGTGTGTGAAGGATGTGTGTGTAAAGGATGTGTGTGTGATGGATGTGTTTTTGAAGGGCATGTTTTGCCAGCTGTAGCTTAGTTTGTATGTTTGTTTTGGTTGTTTTTATTGTTGTCCCTTTTTGTTACTTCTCTAAACACAGTCGCAATGCCGTTTGCCTCTTAACATCGTCCGGACGGCAGCCATTCTGGCTAAGAACAATAATTAAATTGGTAAAATTACATGTTTAACATCATACTGGTCAGTTCGTTTAAAATGTAACACCCGCGACATGCAGAGGGTTCGCTGGCCCTGGGTTTGTGGCCATCGATGTCTGGTGATGGGACTGGTGCCTGCTCGTTCTGCTCATTTAGAAAAAAACAATTTTACTTTCCATTCTTTTACTTTACCATACCAATTACGACGAGTGTTATCGACCACAGCGTGTCTGAGGGTGCTATAGTTCAACAAAAAGTACTTATTTAGCCTAAACCTAGCCATGATACCAATCCACATATCAAAGCCATTCTCGAACCTTGCCTAGACCCTACATTTTAAATATCGTGATTGAAATAGCACCTTTCATTCAATTAACTTTGTTTTAATCTTAAGTAAGTAGTTGTGCTGAAAACAACTATGTTAAGTAAGAGACAGATAAGTCCGGGCATAGTCGTGACGTAACTGTAAACAAAGAAATGTAACTCTGTTCCAGTTTCTTGTTTTTGTGAGGCTGGTTGAAGCCAGGGCACGAACTGCTGCGAACTGCTGCGTAGGCGAAAAATCTCGTTCTTTGTGTCATATGTAAATAAGATATTTTCATCTCGTTTTTTGTGTAATATGTAAATAAAATATTTTTATCCCGTTCTTTGTGTAATATGGAAATGCGATATTTTAGTTCGTTCTTTGTGTAATATGTAAATACGATATTTTCATATCGTTATTTGTGTTATATGTAAATACGATATTCTAGTTGGTTTTTAAGTAATATGTAAATACGATAATTTAGTTTCTTCTTTAAGTAATATGTAAATACGATATTTAAGTTCGTTCTTTGTGTAATATGTAAATACGATATTTTCATCTCGTTTTATGTGTCATAAAAATACGATATTTTCATCTCGTTTTATGTGTCATAAAAATACGATATTTTTTATCTCGTTTTATGTGTCATAAAAATACGATATTTTCATCTCGTTTTATGTGTCATAAAAATACGATATTTTTATCTCGTTTTTGTGTAATATATAAATACGATATTTTCATATCGTTATTTGTGTAATATGTAAATACGATATTTTAGATCCTTCTTTAAGTAATATGTAAATACGATATTTTCATGTCTTCCTTGTAAATACGATAGCTTGTTACTCGAATGTCTTCTCCTTATATCTCTATGGGCAGGTCCTGATTGCTATTGATTCTGTTTTTTTTTTCTATTGATTTTGAGTCTTACTTTGGAGACTTCTCTGGATAGTCGATTCAGCTTGGTTTGGGAACGTTTTTTACTTGTGATATTAGAAGGCAGATGTCATCAGCAAAATCGAGGTCTTCCAGCCTTTTGGTAAACTTCCACTGGATTCCTGTGAAGTCGATTGTAGTTTTCTGTTTGATCCGGTCAACTACCATCAAGATTAAAATTTGAGACGACATAATCTTTGTATCGCTCCGTCTTCACTGTGTAGAGGTTCATTAGCTTTCACTTATAGATTACCCAACAGGCGTGGCTTCATATCTGTGTTGTAGATAATGAGGGTATGCCATAATGACTCATTAGCTTCCAGATAACATCTTTACTTACACTATCAAACGCCTTTTTCACGTCTATACAAAAGTCACGGAATGAGGAGACTGCATGACCTATTTTATCGGAAACCAACCTGTTCTTGTCTAAGTTTTTTTTTTACCAAGGTATCTCTAAGTCTCTCCAGGATGATTTTTTTTTGGGACAGCATCCCCCCCCCCCCCCACACTTACTGTGACAGGTCTCCCTCCTTTAGCAGTGCACCAGGTAGCCTATCAGTTGCAGGTCAGATGGGATTATCTCACCTTTCCAAATATTTACAAAACAGACACAGTCGAACATATCCATTTTCAAATAAATAATTGGTTAAAGATGATATATTTTTGCTTTGTCCTTGGATATAAATTAAGCTGAGGAGTTAAAACGAAATAGCTGCGTTGGAATTAGACGAACGTACAGATGGATATACAGGCGGGCGAATGGATTGATGGAAAGACGGACGGACGAACAGATGGACGGGCGGACGGACGAACAGATGGACGGACGGACCGACGAACAGATGGAGGGACAGGCAGACGAATGGACAGATGTACGGACTGGCTGACGAAAGAATGTATACACTTATAGAACAGCCTCAAATGTTGATGTTTTATAAGAGATGATGTTCTAGCAATGGGGAATATTCATATAAAGTGATATTTTTTAAAATACGGTGGGTATTTAAACGATCGATTTAGTTTTATAAAAATGCGTAACCCCGCATGTAAAAAATTAAAGTACATTGCAACGTGATCATTCCCCTAAAAGAGTAGGCCTACATTGTACTACATTATGAAACTTTTGAAACTTAAGCTCGGACCCTCTCTCGTGCGGAACGGTTGGAAATAAAAAAAAATTCTTGTCAAACCGGAAACACGTCAATGCGTCGGAGTACAATTTGATATGCAAATAAAAACTAAAGCAGTCAAGTGTGACGGTCTATCCGACAGCGCTAAAGATTAACTATTCTTAGCGGTTTTTATCATCGTCTTTAATAGTAATGTGCGAAATTCTCGGCTAGTCATTGACAAAATATTAAAGGTCTAATGTTACTGTCAATATCAGGTTGATACAGTCCAGTAGTTGTTTTTGTTTACTATATTATACTATATATAATATACTATATTACAAACATAAAACGTGGAGAGGGTGGGAGGTGTTATAATTTTGTTATAGTGTGTTTTTAGCTGACCCATAGCGCGTTGTTGCGATATAAGAAACGAATTTAACTCAACACAATAAAGTATTCGGTGTCAACATGTTTTGTGTTATATGGTCAGTGACTCCGATTTCAACCTGTTGTTCTTAATAATAGATTTGCTCGACCAAGAATAACCTACACTGAAAATATGAAACTAAAATGTGGTCGCTCATGAGATATCTAACAAAGCATGTATTAAAGATTTGTTTATTTTGAAGAAAGCAAGTTTATTATATTTTCATTGCATGTAAAATGGTATTATTATCATCTTTTTTCCACTCGGGCAGATGAAGTAGAGTTAATATGTTTCTGAAATCTCAGCATAAAAAAATAGTGTAGTCAGCCTTGTGCACAGCCGCCGTTGTTTTTCCTAACGTTAGTTAGATACCCATCAGAGCTGGGAAGGCTCACGACCCGCCGTGTATCAGATATTTGTCTTTAATGCTAGCTACTGATCGGGGTTTAAAGTAAACATTTTAGGTCGTAGCCTATGTGGTGTCAACTTCATTTAGAACGAATTCATAAAAAGTGGAAAATAAAACAAATATAAAAACTTTAAAGGGACGGCGTGGTCTAGCGGTACAGCGCTAGACTGCTAACCTGAAATCTCGGGTTCAAGTCAGTAAAACGTACCTGAGCGTATGATACACGGCGGGTCGGCTCGTTGATTAAAATTCTCTATGTTGACAGAGTTCAGACAAGATTTTGGAAAAATATTATATTTTAAGAAATATTCAGCTGCATTTTTGAGGGGGGGGGGGGGGCTGTTAACTGAGATGTGACGTCATTTTAAGGGGGTCTTATATTTAGTGACGATGTGCGACGGAAGGGGGGGGGGGGGTAAAAATCGTCAAAAAAGGCGAGACCTCATTTCTGGATGACCCCAAAGCGCTACTGCCAATTAAAGTCCTTGAAAATTTTTTTTTTTTAATGGAATTCTCCAACAACAAGCTGATAATGAGGAAACTACCAGAAATGATCCCAAACCTTTTTCTTCCCTTATCCAGCACTTGACACAGTTGACGAAAGGGACCAAAGAAGTTTGATGAATGGCCTGGATACCCCACATCACGTTGTCTGTGATAGCGGTAATCGCCTCGACAGTATCGCCGTACACATTTTGTTTACTTGGCTTTTTTCCCCCTCGCTTCATACAGCGTCACCACTTCCCTACATTAAAAAACCCCGCTCTAGCCTGTTCTCGTGGGTTCCTGACCCCGCCAACCAATCAGCTGTAGGCTTGCAGTTCTGTGTTATTGTTTACCATCGTAATGAGGTCACGTGCTCTAAGAATACCCACTCTTCGTCCTTCAGCTATGACGTAGATCGACCGCCAATGTCAAACCGGCTTTTTTATGTTTTCACATACAAACCGTTACCGACTTCAACTTTTGATAAACTGTGTCTTAATCTGATTAAATAATTAACAAAAAATTTAATCAATGGTTTTTTTTAGTCTCACGAGTCACGCAAATCTAAAATTAATCAGGGTTAAACACGGAGAGGTGAGATCCGTGACCTTGACACACAGCGGCCTAGACCGCGAAGCTAGGTCACCGGCTGTATTGTGGGCCTGTGTTCGCGCGACAGAGGGCACATCTCTCTCGCTCGTGGGTAAACCGTATGTTGTGTGTTGGCCGACACCGCATTAACACACGTCTATGTACAATTTTAAACAATTTTTTTTCCTTTTAAAAAAAGGGGACGAAGAAGGAAAAAAAAATTCGGATAGTCACGTGACCTATTTTAAAATAGCACAGCCAGTATAAAGCTCAGCGGGTGAGAGACGAACCCCATTCAGCCCGCTCGTGTTGTCTGCTGTAGACAGGGCTGTGTCATCAAGCAGACGCCGGCTACCTCCTCTACGTTTCATACTGGCAGACTGGACTTTTCTACTGCATCCACACCGCTGTTTACATCAAGTATATTGTGACGTGTAGGCTACTGTGTTTAAATAATCACGAAGTTACATCAACTAAACCTACAACAGTTGGTTGTTTTATAACCGTTAACACTTCCGTACCTGTTTCAACCACCAACAAAAAAGGTAAATTATATTTTTATTATACCTTTTATTATTATAAATTTAATTAAAATCTAGACAATTTTACCATAAACAAACGTAATTCGTAGAAGACACGAACATATAAATATAGATATTGATGTTAAAATTGTGCTCAGCAGGCAGTTATGTGAAAATAAAATGTGAAATGGTGACCTATTTAGTAAATGAGGTCACCAGCTGAAAGATGGGCTAAGCTATCTGTTCAAAGTTCTAAGACTTTCTACTTGTGTTTGAGAGGTCGGACTTTAATTTGAGTCACCCCAGACATGGTTGGCTGATTCTAGTCTGTATGACGGTTCTGTGTTCGTCCAGGTATTATGGGTACCTGGCGCTAGTCGGGGAAAGTCTAGAAGAAACATAAGGCATTTCACCTTCACAAGCCTAGGTCAAAGAATCAGGTGAAATCTACTGCATCTACTGTATAATCGTCAAGTGCAAATAGGTCACTAAGGGCACTTGTATGACGTAAGTGGACCTGTTATATAATGTTCATCTCCGTTCTAACTTTGTCTTACCTGCATTTAGCACATCAAACGTAGCTAATCACCCAGCGTTAAGAATTATATAGGCTGCACACGGTGATATGTCTATTTTGTTATAGATTAGATTTAGGATCAGCCTGTTTGTTCACTGGCGCAGGGGTGTGCGGGGTTGTAGACAAATATATAGATCCGTATCGCTTCCCGAGAACCGGATTATTTGAACTTCACAATAAAAAAAAAATGTGCACGTTGCTGTATTAAGCACTTTGTGAAATTTTTGTTTTGTGTAACAATGGTGTGATAATGGTCACTTTTTTTGTTCTCTCTCTCTCTATATATATGTATATATATATATATATATATATATATATATATATATATATATATATATATATATATATATATATTAGTGTGTGTATTTGCGTGTATGTATGTATAAGGTAAACTTTTAAACTTTAAACTCTCTCATAAGAAATTTGTTTTCTTTATGAAATTTAGGATTATGGGCAGTTTTTTTTTCTGTTTGCTTTTGGGTTAGGGTCACTGCTATTTAGTTTTTTTTCTACGGAGTTTTAGATCTTTTTTTTATATGTTAACAATGTACAGTAAGGCCTTTGGTAGCCTTCCCGTCACTAAGGCCTTTGGTAGCCTTCCCGTCACTAAGGCCTTTGGTAGCCTTCCCGTCACTAAGGCCTTTGGTAGCCTTCCCGTCACTAAGGCCTTTGGTAGCCTTCCCGTCACTAAGGCCTTTGGTAGCCTTCCCGTCACAAAAGGCATTGGGAGCCTTCCCGTTACAAAAGGCCTTTGGTAGCCTTCTCAACACAGCATCGCATTCAATCGATTTTCCTCCTCTGGACTGGCGTAGTCCATTCCTTTCAAATCGTCCCCAACTGTTGCGGGTCTGTTATTATGTTAACACTGGTACACTGCTAGTAGGATAGACGGTGTATAATGAAATTATTACTGTCAGTGTAAATTAATAGTACTGACTTGATAAATAATTCATTGTAATTTAGTCGAAATCGTATTTACATTACTCCTGATTAATCCTAATTGCCTATGTATGTGTGTGTGTATGTGTGTAATCTTGTCTGTGGAAAACTACCCCTCGCCGCCTGGCCTGTGAACTTTGAACCCTGTTAGGAACAGACGTAATATATTATCTTCGCCTTTGTTTACCTTTCTTGTTTATGGTGATTTGTTATACAGGTATGTTCTCAGTGTTCAGAATTTGTTTTATGAATTTGTTGAACTATTTTTCCCCTCTAAGTAAGTGTTGTGTGCTACATTTATGGCGCTGAACAATTACATGAGGAACTTGTGTGTCTTTGCTTGTTGGAACAGAACAAGCCCACTGAGATAAAACTTCGAGCGTCATTTGATACTCCGAATCGTTATAGGGAATAAGGATAAGGCAGTCTGAAGGTAATTGTTTGATAGACCAGATGGCCTCGTGAGTCTTAGAGCCGCACACGTCTCAAATTAGGGCCGCACACGTCTCAAATTAGGGCCGCACACGTCTCAAATTAGGGCCGCACACGTCTCAAATTAGGGCCGCACACGTCTCAAATTAGGGCCGCACACGTCTCAAATTAGGGCCGCACACGTCTCAAATTAGGGCCGCACACGTCTCAAATTAGGGCCGCACACCTCAAATTAGGGCCGCACACCTCAAATTAGGGCCGCACACGTCTCAAATTAGGGCCGCACACCTCAAATTAGGGCCGCACACGTCTCAAATTAGGGCCGCACACGTCTCAAATTAGGGCCGCACACGTCTGAAGGCCCTACTGATCTAGAAATTGTTTTACCCCAGACTACTTTGTAAACTCTATAAGTTACTGTTTAGGACATGTCCAAAACTTAAAGGCGTCTTTGTTACGGTATTTATTTTTTGTTGATGCACTAGATTTTTAAAACATTTAATTGACCTATTATTTATATATTTGATCCACCTTTTAAAGTTTGGGTTTCTTGCAGTGTATGGTTGCAAGTACACACCCTATCCACAAGCCCCCCCCCCCCATACAAACACACACCCTGAATAACTTGATATAACCCTACCCTAGTCCCCATCTTAGCCCCAACAAATAGAGCAGAACCGCCGTGTCTGTTAGAACTAGGAAGTTCCGCCTCCTGAATCAAGGTGTTAAACCCTTACGTCACACTGTGTTACATTACGTGAAGATTACATGTTTGTTATTATATTCTACGGTTGGAAACGTCAGGCCATGGATAATCACGCGGATGTTTAAGGAGATGTGCCTTCATCAGAACTAGTTCACGTTGGTACTGTATGTACTTTTCTTTTTTAAATATGTGACTTCCTAATTATCGCTCCAATAGTAAATTCTACTTCCTACATTTTCTGATCTGAAGTAAATTTAAAAAAAATGTAATCCCTACAAAATTAAAAGGCAACACACTTTTGTCAGGGCAGCCGAGCGAAATATAAAATGATGTATGCTATTGTATGACACACCTTACACAAACAGTACTGGAGTTTATTTTATCACAACCGTGTCAGTGTATCTCCATGTTTATTAATTTTTATTTGGCGGACTGACACATTTCATATGTGAACACACCATGAAGTTCTAATATTGTCATGACACATGAACACACCATGAATTGCTAACATTGTCATGACACATGAACACACCATGAAGTTCTAATATTGTCATGAACATGAACACACCATGAATTGCTAACATTGTCATGGCACATGAACACACCATGAAGTTCTTACATTACGTCATGTCGTACTAATTCACTAAATCTTAATCGTGGCACACACAGGCTGTAAAAAATTGCACAATCTAATAGCACTTCGGCAAACTACGCATTTTTCTTTTAACCGGTTTTGTATATTTTGATCTGGTTAGTGCTTCTGTTTCTATCAGCTTTAAACCTTTGTGTTACTGAATAATAGATCTATAAACTACTTACACTGAGTGTTTGTACTATTTAGGTTGACGTGACACTTGTTTGTACCATTTAGCTTGACGTGACACTTGTTTGTACCATTTAGCTTGACGTGACACTTGTTTGTACCATTTAGCTTGACGTGACACTTGTTTGTACCATTTAGGTTGACGTGACACTTGTTTGTACCATTTAGGTTGATGTTACACTTGTTTGTACCATTTAGGTTGACGTGACACTTGTTTGTACCATTTAGCTTGACGTGACACTTGTTTGTACCATTTAGCTTGACGTGACACTTGTTTGTACCATTTAGCTTGACGTGACACTTGTTTGTACCATTTAGGTTGACGTGACACTTGTTTGTACCATTTAGGTTGACGTGACACTTGTTTGTACCATTTAGGTTGACGTGACACTTGTTTGTACCATTTAGGTTGACGTGACACTTGTTTGTACCATTTAGCTTGACGTGACACTTGTTTGTACCATTTAGGTTGACGTGACACTTGTTTGTACCATTTAGGTTGACGTGACACTTGTTTGTACCATTTAGGTTGACGTGACACTTGTTTGTACCATTTAGGTTGACGTGACACTTGTTTGTACCATTTAGGTTGACGTGACACTTGTTTGTACCATTTAGGTTGACGTGACACTTGTTTGTACCATTTAGGTTGACGTGACACTTGTTTGTACCATTTAGGTTGACGTGACACTTGTTTGTGTATTACTGGAGCTTGCTGAAAGTTTAACGAATCAGAAAATATGTCCTTTCTATGGTTTCTTTAGCTGACGTATTGCCTTGTGTTCACAAATCCTTCCCATATGTTTTTTTTTAATGTGATGTATTACTTTGACTGCACCAGAAAAGGGCGTCACTACAGAGGACGCTTGTTGTTTGGCGTGCAGTAATCTCTCTATGTCATTTTAATTTGTTTTTACAGACTTTGGTGGGTTTTTTTTCTTCTTTAAGCTATGTATTATTTGAACCTTGTTCTATATCTCTTCATTCAGTCCGGGTAACTGAAATCTTAACCTAAGTCTAATTTCAGTCTTTTGGGGCCTTCACTCGTCCATTTGAGTTCCAGGAATACAGATTTATTTTGGGCCAACTAAAAATAATCTTTAATAAACTATTTGATTACTCATCCGTGATGACATGTAGGGTCAATCTGTCGTGTTTATATTTCGATGCGTTGTTTTTATGACATTTTTAGACATTGGCAGACTAGCTTGCCAGAAAGGAATCTGAAATGACTCATGAGAAAACTATACACAAGTCAGATCCACGCTCAGTGACAGATGGGCAAGATCCGGTGAACGGTAGTTGTCGCGTGGGGGTGCCGTCAACGGCAAACAAGGGAAGGCTTTTATTGTTAGGCTCCCACTGTACTACACAGCGCTGTAGACAGCCTCTATAATGGTTATTGTCTTTTCACTAGACAGCCCTCTTCTCTATAATGGTTTTTATCTTCCACTAGACACCCCTGTTCTGTATAATGGTTTTTATCTTCCACTAGACAGCCCTGTTCTCTATAATGGTTTTTATCTTCCACTAGACAGCCCTGTTCT